TTTATAGCTGCATTTAGCAGACAACATGAAACTCCTCATACATCTGCTGCTCCTGTTTGTTGTGCTGTCAAACTCTACAAGAAACTATAGTCAGAAGACTTCAACCAGCAACCCTTTTTTCATAAAGGCATGAGAAGATACTGTGAAGTCAGATTTCTCAAAGACTGGTCTGCATACTTGAGTATTGTTGGAGTGAAGGAACTGAAGACATTCAGAAGTCCTGCTGTTAAGTTGTTTTCCTCACCATCACAGCCTCCTTTTGCTTACCAGTGCAACCCAGTTAAAGCTGGAGAAGTCTTTTATCAGAAAGCCTGGAGAGTCACTACCAAATAGAAGGTTGCTTCAGCAGGTTCAGGACTGAATTTTCTGGTTTTAAAACTTTTCTGGTTTAAAAAAATTAAATCAACATTACAGAAAAGGATTGCATCTTATTAAAGAGGTGAATTGGGACTTGGGGGCTCACATGAGAACCATTGACTAGAAAAGGGCAGGCTGAGGAGTCTGGAAGAGATGCCATGACCTTCCATTTTCCAGTGGTAGACAGTACTGAGCAAGACAAATCAATAGTGCAAGACCTACATTCTGAAGTTATCTACCTGTCCTTGACTGATATGAATTTCCCAGAATCCTGAGCATTATGTAGTATCTCATACCTTTAACTGATATGCCAGAATTGTATTTCAGACTGAGACTACTTTGCACAGAATGCAGTTGGTTTGAATGTTGGAGCAGGCTTCAAATACCCTTTCCTCCACGTAAACTCAGTGGGGACATTTGGCAAATCCCTCTCTCTCATTGAAAGAGGAAACCAACAGCAAACCTTTTCTGAATAAATTTTTGCCGAGAAACCTCTATGAGAGCATCACCATGAGTTGGAGTTGACTTGATGGCACGCAGTAGCCAACAACATATGTTGCATGCCATGCAAGTGCTGTACCATTGCATTATTGCCATTCCCTGAAACCCTAATATGAAAATGGGAATTGGTTTTCTCCTAGTTATCTGGCTTACATATTAGAGTTTCTCATATAGGGAATCAATTATTCGAGAGACATTTCAAACTGGTATTCCTCCGCCTGCTACCATGTGCTAATTCAACACATTTGAATGCATCTTAAGGGCAATCTTCCTCTGCCTAGAAGTGAATCATCTGCTGTGAGCTGCCACCAGGATATTTTCTTATCAAATTGCTCAATAAAAACTTCTATGAGATAAAACATTGTTCAACCAGAAGGTGGCAGAATTAAAATAGGTATCTGTTTACATTGTTACCTGGTACCAGGGTTCAGGAAGGGGGAGGGGAGGGATACAAAGAAAATCAAATAACTTAAAACTTTTCTCTCTCAGAGTATTCCTTCTAGCTAGGAGTACATCCACACTGGCACCATCAAGAGTCATTCTTAATAGTGTATGCACAAATTGTTTCAGTGAGGGGTTGGAAAGATAAAACAAAATGGACAAATTGGTATAAGTATATAGTTAATATGTTCAATGTGGAAATAACAAATTGCCAATGGACCAATATAGATAAAATTGTAGAGGTTACAATAATTAAGTGAATGTGGGAACCGGTTAGAAATTATTTAGAGAATGTGCCAAGATGTGGAGTGGAAAAATTAAGGTTGAGATTGATATTTCAAACGTAACTTCTGTAGTTTGCTATATAAATTGCATGTGCAAGGAGAGGAGGGTGAGAGTGGGATAAAACAATAAACAACAGTAAAAAGAGGTCCTTGTGCTACAATCCAGAACCACCATCTAACATCTCTCCTTCAAAAAAAAGTGTCACTCTGGCTCATTATAGCTCTTTTGACCTTGTACATTAGGGATGGGTAGCTTCAAATAAATGTTCTTGAACAGCTGTACTTTGTTACATGCATTTAAAGTGAGTCCCCCCCTAGGGGGTTGAGAAGCGCGGGGTAAAAATACCCAAAATAAATAAATAAATATCTCACCCAAACCCTGGTGATGCTTCCAAGACAGCAGGTTAAGAATAATAATAATAATCATCATCATCATCATCATCATCATCTTTATTCTTATATCTCGCCTCCATCTCCCCGAAGGAACTCAGGTGGCTTACATGGAGACGAAGCCCAATATAAAAAAGTTACAATATAACACAATTAAAATGTATAACAATCAAATATATTAAAACAATAAAACCAATAAAATCTACCAACCAATAGCCAAGAAAAGTGGGTATGTGCTGACTAATAGAGCAGGATAGGGCTAGTGCAACATAAACTGTAAGGCTAGGGGCTGAGAATAAAGTGCTGGAGATCCTACCAAAAGATGTTGAACCATTATTTGAAGGCACATTGTAACATCCAAGCCTTCAGGTCCTTCCAAAAGGTGGACAAGATGGGGACCAATTTAAGCTCCCCGGGGAGAGTTCCAGAGCTGGGGGTCACCACTGAGAAGACCCACTCTCATCCCCACTAACCGAGTTTGCGACGGAGGTGGAAGTGAGAGAAGGGCCTTCTCAGCAGATCTCAGCACTTGCACCCATTCATAGAGGGAGATATGGTCACGAAGATAAGCAGGACCTGAACCGTGTAGGTCTTTATATATAATGACCTGAACTTTGAATTGGGCCTGAAAACTTATCGGCAGCCAGTGGAGATGTGTTATTCCTTTATTCCACTGGATCTGATTTGACTCTTCCATGCCATAAATGGTCTAGTTTCTTGTAGCTAAGAAAGGGAGCCATAGACAAGCAAATCAAGGAAGGGAAATATTAAAATAAAGGGGGGGAAAGTGTATTTGCGCTTTTTTTCAAGTTAATTCTATTCTAGTACACTAAAATGTTGATGTTTGTAAAAAGCTAAATCCAAGATCTTGCTTATGATTTTAAATACATTTCTCAGTATAATATCTGAATTTAATTCTTGAAATAAAGATCTGGATGGAATCAATGTTGTACTTCTGAAGGCAGAAACCAGCACAGGAATCAAACAGTATACAAAATAAGGCCGCCGATATCAAATGGCTACCGAGTCTTGTCCAATATATATTTGTACAGTAGTAGCAAATAATCAGGGCTTACAAAAATAATCATCCCATCTTTGGCTCTTATTTTGCCTTCATGGGATCTCTTTCAGTGGAATGAAGGACCAGTGGTGGCCTTTAAAGCTGGCAACTCAGTGGCGAGGTGCCATTGCTGTTTCAAGATACTTAAAAAAAAAAAAACCAAAATCAAATGAGTGCTAACAACCCCACCAACTTACCTTTACCTAATTTTCTCTGTTGTAACCTAAGTTTCCAGGGAAACAGGGTTGAAAAAGCCGGCAGTCGCCAGCAGGCAGCCAGCAGCTGAGAGTGAGAACTCTCCTTTGTCACTTTCCACTAGAGGATGCATGCTGAGTCCGGAAAGTGCCAGTTTCAAAGCCACCTAGGTTTCCAAAGTGTGCACTCCCCACCCTTTATAGTTTAAATGGGGGTGAATGCATGTGTCAGTCTATGTATGTGTGTGTTGTGGGGGTGGAGGAGCTTAAATTAACTTACAGTTTTCTCCCTTGGACTGCCACAAAACATTCCAGGAGGGTAACCTGGTCAGGGAGTACTGCTTTATTATGTTAGTCAGATATTCCACAGAGTAATAAATCGGAGCAGCCAAATAGATTCTCACTCTAAAGCTCTATATGGTACAGTTGCTTGTATGTGTGCATGCGTGTATACACACATACACAGAAAAACAGCGTTGCTATTTTCAGGAGTTGACATGGCCTTCTCCTTTGTTTTCTATGTGTAAAACATATTTGGTGATCCTTACCCCCAAGAGAATATAATCTGTTAAACATAATTGCACTGGATGACTTTTGCGGATATTTTTTTAAAACCAGGAACATGCTGCCATTGGATGGATGATATTCAGATAATGATGTATAAAACTGAAATAAACCTGTACAAACATTAAAGATAGACCCTTTCTTCTATTTCTTCTTGTCCACTTTGACCACATGCCAAACAATGAAAATGGAAGAACTGATTTTATGTCAAAAAGAATTTTACATAGAATGTCCTTTGAAATTAATTGTTATTGATCATGATTTCACTTCCCAATAATATATCATTTTACTTTTGGAGGAGGGGAATACTAAACTTTAATTTTTCTGCAAATTTTTCTGCAAGTTGTTGCTGCAAATATTCCAGATTATAGCAGTGGAAGTAGAACCACTAGATTAGAACAAATGTTGACAGTATAAGTAGTGATGGATTTTCAAGACTTGTGTAGAGTGGATTGCTGGCATGGAAGTGAACTTGAGGATTCATTCACTCTTTGCCTCCTTCAGCTTTGCACTTATCCCATTCTCTGTCCGATCGTTTATAGCCTGGCCACGTTTACAGTAGCTTACCACCATTGGTTGATGAGCGCTGTTTTAATCAAGTTTTTAAGTTCTTGTTTAATATACCTATATGTTTTATTCAACTGTATTTTAAATTGTGTTTTATTTTATGTTCTGTTTTTGGGACTTTGTGACATGTGTAAGCCGCCCCGAGTCCCTCCGGCAAAATGGTGGCGGGATTCATTGTTGTTGTTATTGTTGTTGTTGTTGTTGTTGTTCCTTCAAGCAAAGGGAAACTCAACTGACTTGCCTTCCAGATGCAATAGAAAGGCAAGAAGGCATTTTTTAACGTTCTAAATGTATGTTGCTATTCAGTAAACTTCACTTTGATTTATCTGTGTTCCTGTTCAATTATTATGCTTGTGTAAAGAGCTTAAATCCATAGGCCATTTTTATATTCCAACAATCCACTTATGTGAACTTTTAAAACTGCCTTTGTCTATGTAAAGTTGAAGATCTAGACCATAAAGGAGATGTTGTACATTCAGAAATATTTTTTATCTATGCTTTTCCCACAATTATCTGCATGCACTTTTAACAAGACAATTCTTCACATTCTATACAGAAAAGTGCAAATGCTTTTCTTTTCAAAAAAATGCAAAAGATGAAAACATGTAAGTCTAATTTTAAAAATCTTTTCTTTCTCCCTAGCGTTTTACGATGGGATAATGAGACAGATGTCTCTCAACTGGAAGGACATTTTGACATTGTTATGTGTGCTGACTGGTAAGTACATAAAAATCATAAAACTCATGTTAGAAAAAATAGCTTTGCTGGAGTAATTGTACTGTGCTGCTTGCTGATGGCTAAGCAAAGTCAACAAATGAAGCACGACGCCACCTTAACCTCAACAAATTAATATTCATCTCCATGTGACAGTTATAAGGTAGTCTTCTATCACACAGTAACTTCTACCACATTATTTCCCAAAGATTGATTTTGAGAAGCATTTCCATTTTCTGGAATTGCCTCTGTTTCATGCTTGACGTATCAGTAAATGGACGACTTAGGCAAATTGCAAATAATTATGGCTCAGTGAGGAACAGTCTAGAGAAAAGGGAGTTTATCAACACAAACAGCTCAATTAGCTTACTTCTTAGGAAAGATCTGACTATTGATATAAGAGGATATATATTCAGTACTCCCCAGTAAATCTTTGGGGGATATTTTCCCAGCATTTCTTAAATCTGCCAAACAACTGTAATAGTGTTCATCTTCTGAGTGACACTAAGATATCAGAATTAATAGCAAATTAATTGTAATAAGAAGAAATCAGAGAGAAACATGCACATATACGCACCTGAGATTGACTGACAACTTACAGAATAATGTTCTGCTATATATATAAGTATCTAAGTAGATTTGACTGCTGGTATAAATGACATTTTAACTGCTGACTCACCTAATTGTGAAAATTGCACAATGGTTTTCATAATGTTTTATGCTTCAAAGGGGGTATTTTCGCATAAATATAATTCCATATACAGACATGAGCTCAGCTTTGTTTAGCTGTTTGTTATTATTGAAGGGTATGACTCAGCTCTGTAGCAATCAATAAGAGTTTGGCTATTGACTTCAGTACGTTGAAGATCGCATGCGAGATAAGAGAAAGTATACGTAATCATTATGCTGGCCTTTACAAAAACAATTATTTCCCCTAGCAGACTACCTCAGTTAGGGGAAGAAATAGCTACTTATTGCATTCTTAAAATGTTAAATAGCTACTGAAGAGCTGCATACTTTTTATTACTTGAAAATGCTCCCTTAATTAAATATTTCAGAAATCTACATAATGCCTTCAGAAAAGTATAGCTTTGTCCTTTCTGTTCTTCTTTTATGATTGATCAGTGAAATGCAATAAGGTCTCTTTTCCCACTGAATGGCGTTTCAGAAAACGTCTTTGTTCCCAAAAAGGACAGACATGGGTTTCTAACTAATCGCTGATAATGTGCCTCAGAGATGCATCATCTGATTAAAATAAGGAGCTAAACAACACCATATGATTTCAGCAAGTAATTTAGTAAATGCCTTCCTCACCAAATATTAGAATGGATACTCTGGGTTTCATTGCACAGATGAAGTTAATGCTGGACAGGATTAGATCAGATTAAGTATGAAAGTCAGATCAGAGCGCTGGCGGACATGAGCAGGAGGGCAGCAGTCTTCTCGGAGGCTTAGACAGGGCTCGCATATGGATGTTCTCCAGATTATGTGGGTGAAGCAAGGTCTTGCCAAGAGATTTAGAGTTAAATTTGTTCTTCACACAAATATCAAAACAACCTGGCCGTGCCATCTCTTATATTCCTAATACTCACACCGTGTCATCCTATTTGTACCATACAGAAGAGCAGAGGGAGCAAGATCTAAGTCGCATATTCTCTATACTCCCCAAACACACACACACATAGTATTACACTTGTCTATTTTTTTTTCTCTTGTGGGTAAATTGCTGGGCATGCGGTAGGTTTGTTGTTGTCTCATTAGAAAACAAAGGACTGTGCTTAATGCATATTTACTCCATGGGCATGAGATACATGTATGATGCTGATTCCATTTATGCAGAACAATATAAGCAGACAGTACATTTGAAAAACATTTTCAGTTAATAGCAAATTGGAAATGAAAGGCTGCATAGGTTTTTTAAATTTTAATTCAAGAAGTATGGCTATTTTGTATTCCCATAGTACATGATCGTGAATTTGCATGGGGTTTTTTTTATGTATTTGTTGTTGGTGACTATGTTTTGCCTGTAAAAAATATTTGATTACAGTGAGATAAACTATCTGGCTTGCTAACCTATATTAAAATATATTATGTATTTTCCCACATGTATTTTATTTCTAAAAGAACAATAATGTTTAGTGATACTTTCGACCAATACATTATATTAAAGGTACCCTAAATGTGCTGAGATAGAAATAAAATAGCATTTTTCAGCATTGGTTTAACTCTATTGTCTATGTCATTGCAGCCATTCAGATTTGGGCTAAGAACAAAGCAGACATTTGTAGTAAAATATTATGTAAAATATCACATTCTTTTTGCTCTTTTTCCATTAAAAGGTGACATTGTGTGATTTTCTGAATAGCTAACTATTGGCACTACTTGATGCCATTTACAAGAAAACAAGCTCCATTCATAAACATATTCCAAACTCATACTGAGTTTCAGCTAAAAATATACATAAGTACAAAGAGCAATGCTACATTAACACTCTTAAATCATCCATATATTTGTATTCAGTTATTTGAACACCTTGTGTGTAGGGGAGGAGAACACATTAATGGAATGTATTACTGTGTATCAAAATATAATAGATCACTTAGATTTAAAATACATAAGCGGAAATAACTGGTCATGAGTTAGCTATTGACAGTGGAGGGTGGTGGAGGTGGTAACAATTAAAATCAAATTTATGATGAAGCAATGCATGAATAGAGAAATCTTAAGGCAAGTATAAAGCAGTGGTAAAGGCTACATGAAAGAACAGTCTAAGTATTGTGTACTTATTGAACAGTGAAAGTACAGCGTAGGGTGAAAGGAATACTCACCTTTAGAACCAGTTCACAATCTCGGTTTAAGAAAGAGTGAACATGGTTTCTCTCAACAGTTATATAGTGGAAGGTAATTGAAAGTAAATGATCCATGTTAACTGTCTCAAACAATTCATTTATCATCTTGTAGCCACAATCAAAGGTAAAGCTTTCTCCTGACATTAAGTCCAGTCATGTCCGACTCTGGGGGGCGGTGCTCATTTCTAAGCTGAAGAGCTGGCATTGTCTGTAGACACCTCCCAAGTCATGTGACCGGCATGACTGCATGGAGTGCCGTTACATTCCCGCTGGAGCAGTACCTATTGATCTACTTACATTTGCATATTTTTGAACTGCTGAGTTGGCAGAAGGTGGACCTCACAGCGGGAGGTTACCCCGCTCCCCAGATTCAAACCACCAACCTTTCAGTCAGCAAGTTCGGCAGCTGAATTCACTCTTGCACCTTACTAGAATTCCAGAAACTCGGGCATTAACTTGTGAACTGGAAGGTTCTACAGGTTTGGTTCCACTTACCACAGAGCCCCATTTTGTTTTCTTTTTTTATTTTCCGCACTCAATTTGCACAAGACCATAGACCATAGGGACTTGACAGATGAACATGTAGCAAAATACACTTGTCACAATGGCCCTTTTAGGATCAGAGGTGTACAGCACAATCATGACCAGTGATAATGGTGGTGCATCTGCTGCGGACAGGTGCAGTGAAAACCTAATATTCAAACAACTGATGTTATTTTTGACAAGCTTTTTTTATTTTATTTTTTTACAAAACTTTGACACTTGTAAACAGTTAGTTGTCCATAGCAACACATTGCAAGCACTGCTTCCAAGTAATGCTTGCTTCTGACAATGGCACTGCAACCATCTTCAAAGCTGTGATGGATGAAACTGAAGAGTTGTGTGTTTTTAAAAAGATGGAGGGAGTAATACTAGACAACAATGGGCAGTAGCTTCTGCTTCAAGGATATTGTAAATGAAAGACAATAATATCCTATTTTTAAAAGAAGAAAGACATCTTAGTGGCAAAGATACATTTGTACAGGATGTATGGGGGAAAGGAAATAGTCAATTGGATTTTACTGAAGAATATATCTCTGTCTCTTTGATTTTTGTATGGATGGCAGGTGCACATTTATTTCAGGCATCAGTCCATCCATTTACTGATAGGTGTAGTTTCAGGGCTGGCACATATCTGATTTCTAATTTCCTTTCAAAGCTTTCAAAAATCAGCAGCCATTGCACTGTGTATTGTCTAAGTATACATGACAAACCGCACCAACAAGAATGTGTGCTGGAGCTTGTTGGGTTTCAGCGTAATAACTTACTGTTCATTTAGATCTCGTTTTCTCATTCACTTTCAGTTTGTACGAAAATCTGATGGTCTGGAAGTAAGGGCTTCCCCTTCTGTAATAAGTGTGTTTCAGTGCATGACAGCTTTGCTGTTTACTGAAGCTGTGCAAAACTGTAAATGACGATGGAGAGCGAACAACTGGAAATCATGTCTGAAGCACCCACCATAAACTCTGATACTAGGCTGTCACATTACATGCAAAATAAAAAGATTTGACATGATAGCTTATAAAATATAAACATATACCCATGCTCCTGAGATTCTTGTAATAGTTCACAGACAATGGAACAAAGTATGTTGGAATCAATGGAGAGTGTCATATCCCCCCACCCCCGGTCTTTACTAGAACGCCTGTATCTACAGTTTTAAGTGGACAACTGGCTTATCTCTTCCAGATGGCCTTTCTTGTATACCTATAAGCAGTCATCTCTACATTTTGCTTAGAGGCTATATGCTGATGTAAAACATCTAAAGCCAAGGCACTATTATTGCCATTTTGAACTTTATACTGCTATGGGTGAAAACCTCTTTATTTTATCTTAGGGTCAAGGTCTGAATTCCAACCAAAGTGTTCTCTAGCAGACTATTTCGTTTCACACAGATAATTCTGGAAAGTCTACAAGTAGGATATGCATGTCAATTTTTTCCTTCCACAAATTGCTGCACAGCCATATTGCCTCCATTTTAACTTTTAAACCATCAAAGACGATCCAATCTTGATAGTACAAATAAGGTGAGAAAAACTGGCACCTTCTTAGATAACTAATGGCTTGAACAGAAGACATCTCCTCGAATAACTAGTGACTCAAGTAACTTTCATTATTAACTAATGAAGTGGTTCCCAATTTTCTTCATGCCGCGCCCCCTTAATACAGTTCTTCATTTTGTGGAGACCCCCAACCATAACATTATTTTTGTTGCAACTTTATAACAGCAATTTAAGGTGCTGGCTTTAGCCTATAAAGCCCTACACGGTTCCGGCCCCACTTACCTCTCCGAACGCATCTCCTCCTACGAACCGGGAAGAGCGTTAAGATCTTCCGGGGAGGCCCTGCTCTCGGTTCCGCCGGCGTCACAAGTGCGGCTGGCGGGCACGAGAGACAGGGCCTTCTCGGTGGTGGCCCCTCGGCTATGGAATGCGTTACCGGTGGACATCAGGCAGGCCCCTTCGTTACTGGTGTTTCGGAGGAGGGTGAAGACGTGGCTCTACGAGCAGGCTTTCGGCAACTAACTCAATAATGACGGCATCGGACAAGGAATGGAAAAAGGATCTTGAGATCGGAATCTGATTCTAAGTGTGGCGTTGATGATTATGTGTTTGTCTGTATTGTGTGTCTCATACATTGTTTAGTGTTGCTTTTTATTGTAAACCGCATTGAGTCGCCGCCTCAGGCTGATATATGCGGTATACAAATAGAGTAAATAAATAAATAAATAAATAATTTTGCTACTGTTATGAATCGTAATGTAAATATCTGATATGCAGGATGTATTTTCATTCACTGTACCAAATTGGGTGCAAATACCCAATACACCCAAGTTTGAATACTGATAGGGTTGGGGGAGATTGAGTTTGTCATTTGGGAGTTGTCGTTGCTGGGATTTATATTTAATATACAATCAAAGAGCATTCTGAACTCCACCAACAATGGAATTGAACCAAACTTGGCACACAGAACTCCCATGACCAACAGAAAATACTGGAAGGGGTTTGGTGTGCACTGACCTTGAGTTTTGAAGTTGTAGTTCAGCTACATCCAGAGAGCACTGTGGACTCAAACAATGATGGATCTGGATCAAACTTGGCCCAAATACTCAATATGGCCAAATGTGAACACTGGTGGAGTTTGGGGAAAATAGAACTTGACATTTGAGAGTTGTAATTGCTAGGATTTATAGTACACCTACAATCAAAGGGCATTCTGAACCCCACCAATGATAGAATTGGGCCAAACTTCCCATATAGAACCCCCATGTCTTGAAGGGACTCACTTTCGCGAGCCTCCCTCCAGCCTCCTCCACTCTCCCTCGCCTGCACAAGGCTGTCATGCGCCAAGCATGCCTGCTCTCCTCTCCTCACTTGGAGTCTCAGAAACAGACCTCCCCAGTGGCTTCAAACTACAAGAAAGGAGATTACATCTGAACATGAGGAAGAACTTCCTGACTGTGAGAGCCATTCAGCAGTGGAACTCTCTGACCTGGAGTGTGGTGGAGGCTCCTTCTTTGGAAGCTTTGGAAGCTAAAACAGAGGCTGGATGGCCATCTGTTGGGGGTGATTTGAATGCAATATTCCTGCTTCTTGGCAGGGGGTTGGACTGAATGGCCCATGAGGTCTCTTCCAACTCTTTGATTCTATGATTCTATGAGAGGCCAGCCAATCACAGCAGAGGAGGGCCTTTGGTGGAAGGATCTGGCATCTGTTTCCAAAGAGGAAGAGAATGACAGGTGAAAAGATTTTCAGCCTTCTGTGCCAAAGGGGTTCCTAAAACCATCCGAAATATACATTTTCAGATGGTTTTGGTGACCCCTCTGAAATCCCCTCTTGACCCCCCCAGGGGTTCCGAGAAATGCTGAACTAATGGCTTAAGTAGGAGGAGAACAAGCATGATATGGTGACTTAATTATTAAACTAGTAGTCCAGCATATCAGAGTTCAATACCTTTGTCAGCCAAGGTAATCCACTGACTGATCTTAATAAGTCACATTTTCTCGGCCTATTAGGAAGGCAATGGCAAACTTCCTTTGAATAAATGTTAAAGAGAAAATCATAAGTTGGAACCAACTTGAAGGCATTTCCTTGCGGCTGATGATACACTTAATTAGAAACAAGTGTAAAGTACTCCAAGTAAAAGTGTCCATTAGTACAGTATAACGGTGGCAAGCGAGAATTGTGTCATCTTACTAGGGTTCTATCAAACATACGGGCTGTCAAAGATCAGTGTCAAGCATATTGCTTGTAGCACTTGAAAATGATTGAAGTTCTGCAAACTGTGAAAGGTATTTGCAGACTCAGTCTACTCTCAGTAAGTCGGTACTACAAACCATGAATAGACCTTGCTTCATTGTTAGAGCATATGAGCTAAAGAGCTAATAGTCATGTTTACTGAAGAATCTACTGTACTTTGCCTTAGCAATAAGTCTATAGCAAGTTAAAAACAAGTGGGAAGATGTTTGCTCTACTTTATTGTGCTCTCTAGTGAAACATAGTAAAATTCATTTTCAACAAAAAAAATGTCGTGTCAGGAGCGACTTGAGAAACTGCAAGTCGCTTCTGGTGTGAGAGAATTGGCTGTCTGCAAGGATGTTGCCCTGGGGACGCCCGGATGATTTGATGTTTTTATCATCCTTGTGGGAGGCTTCTCTCATGTCCCCGCTTGGGGAGCTGGAGCTGACAGGGAGCTCATCCGCCTCTCCCCAGATTCGAACCTGCGACCTGTCGGTCTTCAGTCCTGCCGTCACAAGGGTTTAACCCACTGTGCCACTGGGGGCTCCTTTTCAACTAATAATATACTGAGATCAAGCTTGCAGTAGACTGGAACAACCAAACCGCTCTGCTTATAGGAAACCCTGATCTAGAATCTACAAATGATTTGGTAACATATGTGGCACTATGGACAAAAAAAAAATCTAGTGATGTTCTACTCACAAGTAACCATTGTTGGTTTCAGATGTCCATCAAAATTATTTTCCAAGAAGTACAAAGAAGACCTTTCTCTTCCCTAATGACAACAAGGAACAAATAGATGCCAAATATTTATTATATGTGCAATATAAAAATGTTTGCATGAATAAAAAAACTGTGTGGCTGAAAGGCTAAAATCTAGGCAAATATCAGCATTCTATCAGAAAGTGTGTTGGAAATTTTAGAGTCTTTGAGGCAATATAGTTAAAACCATCTAGTATTATTATTATTATTATTATTATTATATTACTAACACAAAAACACAGTATGACATAGCAAATGAGATACATATGCTGGATTTCCTATCAAAATCACAAGTCAAACTCTTCTCGAGTGTTTAGGACTGTGTAATGTATTTTTGATGCATGCAGATCCAAGTAAGGTGGTCTTTTGCAGTTGACAGATTGTGATTTTGTCAATGTTTATTGTTTCCAAATGTCGGCTGAGATCTTTTGGCATGGCACACAGTGTGCCGATTACCACTGGGACCACCTGTACTGGTTTATGCTAGAACGTTTGCAATTCGATTTTGAGGTCCTGATAACGGCTGAGTTTTTCCTGTTATTTTTCGTTAATTCAGCCGTCACCTGGTATGACAACATCAATAATCCAAACTTTTTTCTTTTCCACAATCATGATGTCTGGTGTGTTATTATTATTATTATTATTATTATTATTATTATTATTATTATATGTTGTTTAAACAACATTATTTGCTGCATATATTTTAAAATCTGTTGCTGTCTCCTGATGTTTTGTTTCCAATGTGTTATATATATTCTGGGGGATTTGGTAGATATTAGTTTAGTTTTGTTGAAATTCAAATAACCGCACTAACACTATTTTTAAGGAGGGAAAGGCTCTATCCTAGTATGTATGTGAATTGCCACCCTTCCACATATTGCATTAATCCTGATTTTGGATATCACCGCTACTTAAATAAAAGCTGCTAACCATTGGCAGTTCATTCTTGCTGCAGAGAGAAACATTTCCAGCTGACCTTTCTGGCTTCGGCTTCAGCCAGAGATGCTTACAACCTTGTTTGGTTTTGTTTGTTTAAAAGTGCATGAAATGAAAGGAATTTAGGCCTCCATTTCTCCTTCACAGCAATGTGTAAACATATGTAATTAGCCTTGTACTTATCTGCATTAGTATCATTAGGACTGAAACCCCTTTTTAATCTGGATTCTGTTCTCTTCTCAATGTCAGCCTGTTTCTGGACCAGTACAGAGCTAGCCTTGTGGATGCAATAAAGAGATTACTCCAGCCCAGTGTAAGTATGTTTCTATTTTCTCCTGAACACGGGCTTCAGAATAATTAGTCTGTGCACAATGATTGAGAGAGTAATGGAATGGCAGGATTAATGTCATGTAATACTTTAATACTTATTATGTCCAACTTCAATTGAGTCTTCTAATCTATCAGATTCCTTCCTAATCATAAACTAGGAAACTTCTTATACTTGGCCTTCTGATAAGGAACACAGTGGGTAGTAAAATAAATGAAACCGCTTCAAAGATAGTGTGAGATTATTTTTATCAAAGCGTTTCTTGAGTATTTTCCTTTGATAACAATGTCTTCATATTAAAGTAAAATTCTGATATTGAAAGTTTTTGTGTTGGCTTCTGTCATTTGTAATCCCTTCAATGGTAACCTTTGTCATTGTATATTTATTTATTTGCAAAGTACCAGTTTTTATTCCTTTCATTGTGCTTATATTAAGTGAATCAAATCCTTAGACTGATCCATAGCCTAAAACCCAGCTTGTTTTGTTTTCTTTTTTTCTCCCTCTCTTTAAAAAAAACACAACTAAATAAGCTGTGTATTTACATATTGTAAATGGTAGGACACAATAAATATACAAGTATATGGAAATCACTGTGGATGCTAGGCTGGTTGTGGAACATCTAGAAATTATATTTTACACTGCTGTTTATTATAAGTATAAAATCACAGCAAAAGAAAAGCTACATTTCTTCCAGTCCCAAACAGAACAGAACAAAGCCCAACCAGCACATGTGTCTTACATCTTTATAGATATTTCGATGAAAAAAATTAAACTATCCTGAAGGAAGGTTGCAATAAAATACATCTTAACACTCAAGCACATGGATTGAATATGAAAAATATTACAATAATTCTATCCTTAAAAGAGCATTGTGTTCATCCTTTACCACTAAATACTTGCCAAAATAAAAAAATGTCTAAAATGAACAGAAAGGAGTAAGATATTTGAGGGTGAATAACCACAAATTAAACTCTTGCTTTTTGGTGAAGAGGTGTCATTTAGAGTCTCAATCAGCAGCACTTGCAACTTCTCATATTTGACATTCCCTAACTGGGAAGGGCATGGATCCAACTTACCTGGATAAAGCTGAAAAGCCCTAGTGTCTGCAGGCAGCTTATTTCAGGGAAAGTGGAAATAAAGAGAAAGTGCTAGAAGCACATTGCCACTCGGGAAGCCATTATGCCTTGACTTTTTCGACTTGAATAGGGAAATAGGGCATATCTACCCTATAGATTCAGCCCGGGGTACAATTGGGATACTATGCTGATAAGCTTCCTGTTGTGTAAGTAGCCAGGCCTTTTCAAAGTGCATGCAAGGAGAACTACCTCCTTGCAATTGTTCTCTTTTCTGGTCATGCACAGGTTTGCCTCTATTCCTGACCACAAGCCAGGACAGATTTTTTTAGCCCTGACAGAGCTGCTAGAAGTGTCTTGCTTGCTCTGTAGATGTTGGAGCTGCCCATTACTGGTCCAGGCACTGCTGATGCCTCCATCCTTCTGTGATCCAATGGATCACAGAATATTTTTCACTAAGCAGAATTATTATATATTGCACACACACACACACACATGTTTTGCAAGCCAGAAATTTCATCTTGAAATCCCTCCTCCTTATTCTGAAGAAGAGCAGCCAGGCTCTGAGGAAGGCAAACCCTAAGACTCTTTATTTACTAGGAGTGATATCTTTTATTTATTTATTTACTTTACTTTACTTTACTTCTATTCCACTGTTCTCAGCCCGGAGGCGACTCACAGCGGTTCACAAGACACAGGAAACAGCAAAATTCAATGCACCAATATAAAAACAGTTAACAACCTAATCTAATACACAGTTAGTACACAATTACTATAATAACCATTCACTAGCATCTCATCACTAAAAAACATAATCCAGATTCGTCATCCATTGTTCCATTCCTATGTCATTACCTATCATTGCAATAATTATTCGAACGCCTGCACAAATAACCAGGTCTTTATTTTTTTGCGGAATACCATTAGAGATGGTGCTAATCTAATGTCTGTGGGAAGGGCGTTCAGATCTAAACTAAGCAAACATATGGCTTACAAGAGAGGGGTTTCCAAATCTACAACCACTGGATAAAACTCTCCATGTTGGTTCTGCTCAGTTTGACTTCAACTCTTAGCCCCAACTAGCATGACTAATGGATTCAGAGAGTTATAGTCTAAAACACCTGGTGATTCAAGACTGGAAACCAATGTTTTAGAATCCATTCAGATTATTCAGGGGACTCATCCGATTTGTTGGGTCTGAGTATCACTTTACATAGTCTCAATATATATATATTTAGAATTCAGCAAGAATTCTATATGGTTCTTATGGTTCTTTATTGGAGGGGGATCAATAGTAATGGAGACCTATATTTTTGGATATCATTGAGCAGTGATGGGGTTATTTACCAGTAGTCAGGAGAGCTTTCCACAGAGTGACTACTTAGTAAGATTTCTCAGTTGACGTTGAGATCATCTATGTAGAAAATGTGTACCAAATTTCTCAGTGCCAACATGCCACGGGGAGAAATAACATATAAAGTTTACTTTGCTTAAACAACAAAATATTTTATGAACAACAATAATTACTAATCAAGCATGATCCTGCTCACCTTTCCATGAACAAATGGGCTCTGGTGCCTTGAGGATATTATGAGCCTCCTCTTTGAAATCATTAGTTGAGCTGGTGAGAAAAAGTATGGCATGAAGGCTATGAAGGCTTCAAGTGGTCCACCCCCGAGTCATTTTTCTGACTCCCTCAAATATAATCTGCCCCCAATTTGGAGGGAAAAATATTAAAAATGCCCTTAGGAGCTATTGAAGCGACTTTTCAGTGTCCGTCCCCAAGCTATTCTAGTTCCAAAGGAGGCATTTTTAAAAACCAAACAAGATTTTTAGTTCACTTCTCATTTCTGAAAAAGTCTCACATTGGGCCCAAAATAACCCAAAAACCCCATAAAGTGGCAGATGTATTTCTACTCTCAGAGTACTGTCTTCACTTTAAAGTTCAACCCACACAAGCAGCCCAGAATCCTCATTCTTCAGATATCTCTATTTTCCTCTGTAGCCCTTCTTAAAACAGAAACAGGAAGTTATGCAACATCAATTCCTGTCACCATTTTGAGAAGAACTGTAGAGGAAAACATGTATTTGGGCATGCTGTGAGGGAGTGTCCCACAAGGGGATTTGTGGGGGAAATTGCCCCATGCCCCCTGTGCGATTGCTCACTTTTAGTGTACAAACATTCCAAAACTGAGAAATAAAGCATGAGCATGACTGCAAGTCGTACAACAATTGCTATTATATATAATACATATAACACTTTCAAAATTCTTGAATAAAATAAAACAATGTTTCTCACATTTCTATGCAGATATTAATGAAATGGTATAGTTGTTAACACTGTCATCAGACTGCTGAATATTTTGATATCTTTCCCCTCCCACTTCTGTCAATACTTTTCATAGAAAACAATGAGTGTTTGAAGAGCTGTTTTGAATTTTCCATTTGTTTTATACTATAGTTATTTACCATTCAAAATAAAAATGTGTAAATGTTATTTTCCACATTCTAGGGTAAAGCAATGATATTTGCTCCGCTCAGAGGGAATACTTTAAACCAGTTCTGCAATCTAGCTGAAAAAGCTGGTTTCTCTATCCAAAGACATGAAAATTATGATGAACACATTTCAAACTTCCACTCCAAGGTTAGTTTTCTGCTCGTGTTAGATAACACTTTAATCCGCATTGCATTTTGAAGAGATCATGGTCCTTTTGGCAGGTAACCTAAATGTTTGATTAAAGTACTCTTAGGTATGCTGCTTCTAAATAGCTATTTTTTTGTATCTGATTATTCTGTGTGGAAGAACCATCCTTTATCTTTGCATGTCTAGAAGAGCTTTATAGAAGCTTCTCCTGTTTACCATTTCCTCAGAACTAATCTGTTCATTCATAAGGGTCCAATTCAAAACATTCAGATGTTTAATTCAGCTCATCTCATATACATCTATCTTCAGCAACCACATACATTTTTAAAAAACCAAAAGCTTGAAGGCGTTGAATCCATTAAATATAAAATATATATGGAAACAAATAGGAGATAAATGTCTAATTGTATCATAGTATAGTTTAAATCCTTATTTTTTGTGACTGGGCCAGTTGGCAGCTTCAGGCTGTGAAATCTCATACAGAATTTTACAGTTGTGAGGTTTTATGTCGGATCCGGGCACTACAAGATTTAGGTCACTGACACTTATCTCAGTGATTTTAAGCTTGCTTACATAAAGCAACTGTTATCATTCTCCTCTTTTATTACACATAGGTATAGTGTAATATTTTCAGAGAAAACTTTTTTCTGAAGTCCCTTATTTTTCACCATACTTATCAGCCCTACTGATCAAAATCAATGTTATTACTTGGAGAGAGGAGGAATGCACTATACAACTGACACAGAGATCTGGACTCATCCAGTGCCATCTCCTTCCATTTTTTCTCCTTTTCACCCTGGTCTTTACAAAAGGCTAAAGAGAAGGAATTGACTGGAGCCTCCAATTATTTATGATTAAATATGTAATTCTTCACTATGTTTCTTCTCAAAGGAAGCAAAATATAGCCATTTTATTTCCCACTACGAGAAAGTTACTTGCAATTCAGGACTTGTCCTGTGCAAAATGCACAAATGATTGTTTTCTACAGAAAACAGCTTTTTCTGCACAGAAAATAATATTCAAAAATACAGTTTTCTGTGCACAAAAGCTGTTTTGTGTGCATCAGATTATTTTTTTTTCATGTAAAGCAGCCATATGTGATTTGTGCATAGAATGTCCCTAATTTTTGTGCACAAAACAACCATATATGAATGCTGAGAGAATAAGTTCCAAGCTGCAGTCATGTCAGTCAATGATTCTTCTTATGTTCTCTGATCATTTTGAATACTTTCAATTCCTACTGAATACCAAACCAATGTATTGCAATCCACAATGGCTAAGGTGCTCACGAGGTTAAAAAAAATGGGTTCTATATTTAGCTATGTAGTGTTACAAACCTAGTTCATTTTCATTTTCACTTACAAATGGGGTTACGTGTGAAGCAGCCAGTGGTTGCTGATGGCTCAAAAATTATCCACTTTGATTAACCCTACTTTGGGAAGAGGATTCAGCACCTTGGATAGCTGACTCTGTATTTGGATTACAACCTTTGTGGGGATTCACTGTTTCATTGATATGGGAGCCAGATTCCACTGGAAGCACCTGCCATATACAGGACACCACAGTCTAACGCTGCTTGCAGAGACTCCCTTTTTTCTTAGAAGGCATAGGTGGAGTCAGAATAGTTGGTTGCTTTAGGAATATGTATTTGCACATTTTTGGCTTTAATTTTTGGTTGTTTCAAGGAGGTCAGACTCTGGAGTCTGTAGGTTGATTTCACAATTCCCTTTTAGTTAAAAGGCTGAAATTTAAGAGCTTTTAATTTAAAAATATGCTAAAGAGAATGTGATGGAAAGGGTAATGCTAGCAGCTAGTATCATCCAGTCAAATAAATCATGAAAATAATCAGAACAGACAAAAGAGAAACAACTTCTTCACTCAACACATAGAATCTGTGGCCACCGTAGCAAGCAGGGCCACGATTTTAGAGAGGTCTAAAAAGGGTTTACACACAAACATGGTAGAAATGATACCCAATGGTTTAAATGCAGTGTGCTGTTGAATATTAGCTGCCAGTAGACTTTATTGGGCTGGCCTTCATTGAAAACAGGACTAAGTAGCATTTGATCTGTTCCAACAGGGTTCTTCCTGTGTTCTGTTTAGCAAACTATCATTTTAGAGAACTTATACAGCCAGAGAAAGCCTTCCTGTCTGAACTTGTTATTACAACTGCTCAACTTTTCAGAGGGCTAGAATTTAGCAGCCATGGGTGCATTTCATTGACTATGTTTATCTTTAGGTTTGTGACACTGTATCTTGGAAAAGTTACTTTTGAGTATTATGCACCCAGAATCTCCCATGAAGCATGGTCCATTAGTTTTAGCATGTGCCTGTTTCTGTGCTAAAACAAAACTTGGAAAGTTACTTTCTTGGACCACATGTTCCAGAACTGGAGAGATTTGGCTATGTTGGCTAGGAGATAGTTCTTATAGTTGTAGCATAAAAGAGTAACCTACTGAAGATCTGTTTAAAGATCTCCTGAGCAGGGACAAGAAACATTTAGCTTTCAAGTTGTTAGACTGCAACTCTCTCATCATTCCTCGTTATTGGCTGAGATAATGAAAGTTATAATCCAGCATCTGGACTATGAGATATTTACTTCTAGCATAGAATCTTAGGGTAGAGGATGGAATGGGGCTTACCACCACCACCCTGCTCATACTGGATTCCTGGTTATTTGTCAAAGAAGAGTGTAACTCTGAAGAACTTAAAGAAGTCTTAGCAGATAACATTTGTCTTTTGTGGGCCCTCTGCTTTAAACAAGGGATTCCTTGGTGTTTAGTTGTTAAATCCAAGGTATCTGTGATGTCGATTGGAAGTTGGTTCATGCAACCCTTCAGCTTCCTGATCTTGTACAGCCCAGCTTCCTAGCAGCCAGGCAATTTACATGATGCCTCTACCCTATTAAGCTGAACCATATGTGGTTTCCTGTCTCTTTTTTTCAGTATAACCATCTGCCCTTAAGGCAAAGAGAAGACAGGGGGAACTAGCACACAGCTTGATCTGGCAATAGGGAATGGTTTCTCTTTCCTTCACCACAAATTCAGCTGCTAGCTAAATATCGCTCTGTATTAACGACTCAGAGGGTATTTTCCATTGAATTGAGACTTTGGGGAGATTTTGCCACTACTATCTTTCGAAGCATATTACACATCCACACACTACCAAAAGCTGAAGCAGATGAAATGTACTGAGTAACACAATCATGTTTTGAGATACAGAATACATTGGTAGAGCGTGAGTAATCCTGTCTCATTCTGGTGCCATTTGAGTTCCAGTGTCCTGCAGTTGGTTTATCTTTGATTGTCTTCATGATCATGGGATTATGACCCAGAAATTTAATTTGCTTGCCTGATGCCCTCTAAGATAATACTGTTTTAAAAACAATTTAAACAATTAATTATATAAACCTGTTGTGAACTGAATCAAAAGAGGTACACCTAAAAATGTGCTTCCCCTGTTGTTATTTGCCTTCAAAATGACCCTGGGCTCATCTACACAGGCATTAAAACAGACTCACTCAAAGATGGCTTCTGGCTATTCCCAGTATCACTGTAGCTTCAGGGCATGTGAACTGCAGGCTCGGACTGATTTGGACTGCTCCACTACCCACAAGGTGACAACACAGGGAAAAGAGGATGAATTTTGGCCACATCGCCATGGTCCCAACTTCCAGCTGGCTGCAGAGCTCTGCATTTCTGCTCCAGACTGGCCAATGTACACATTGCCTCTGATTTAGGTTACTTGTCTTATGCGGTTTCTCAGCAAGATTTTTTTTCAGAAGAGCCATGCCATTGTTCTCTTCTAAAGAGTGTGTTTTGCTGAAGGTTATACAGTGAGTTTCCATAGCTAACTGGAGATATGAATCCTGGGGATATGAATCCTCTTGTAGTTCAGTCTCTCAAACTACTACACCACACTACCTATTATTCCCCTCCATACTATAAGGAAAAATAAAGATAACAGAATGGGGACCTATTGTAACATACCAAGGTGGACATAGCCACAAGTCATGTGAGACAGCAACAATGGAGAGGCAGGAAAGGGAGTCTGTGAGACACTTCGTGGGAGACTTGAGGCTATAATGGATTGCTTTTAACTGTGAGAGGCATATGTTGCATATGTCTGCAGTGGGGAAGAAACTCTGGTAACTGATCACAATTGTACCAGTAGCCAAATACTTTCACAATAAAGCAGAAGGGAAATACATATGAAGTCCACCTGCCTCCAAATGTAACCACACATTTATTAGTGGAACAGAACCAGAGCTGAAATGCCAGAGAAGCAATTATCATAAAACTGTAGCCAGGAGTTGAGACTAAAACCCAGAATTCCTGAAAGTTGCCCAGCACTGTGCTAGATGAACATGTAAAAATAGTGACTCAGGATGGACTCCTGTCTTTTGAGAAGGCTGGAGTTTGAAAATTTTAAATAACTGCAATGCTCACAACATTACACTGAATGAGCAGATTAGGTTGTGAATATTTATGGACAGAAATTTGATCATAAAAAGAGCCAACATGGTGTTGAACTAGGACTCTGAAGATGAGGGGCCAAATCGCCACTCAACCACAGAAAGCTACTCTCGCAGAGGAACACAACAGCAAAGCTCCTCTGAACAAGAAAACCTCGAATTAGGGTCACCATAAGTCAGAATCAACTTGAAGCCTATGTCGCTCCAGTTTTTCAGTTTAACTTTTACAAATGGAACAAGGTAACTAGCAGTAAAACGAAGAATGCATTTTTAAAAAACAAAACCCCTATAAATCTGAATGAGTTATTCTGATTTCAGTGACCATTTGTTTTCCTGATTTCCTCTCTTTTTAAATTTTGGAGAGGTCTTCATGAAATCATATTCCTAGCGTTATCATTTTTCAGGGTTCAGTTCCCTCCCCAGGGAGTATTTGAGTGGATCGTAGATGCATTTTGCACTTGGGTGCAACCGATTGCACATGGCCATTAACACGGCAATTTATGCATACCTTCTTAGAGTAATTATGCATTCAATGGAGAATGCACCCATATAGAATTGCAGCCAGGCTCTCCATGCAATGTTGCAGTTTCTGACTATTGCCATATGCAATAGTTCTGTTAGGTTTTTCAAATAGTTGTTGTGTGATTTCAAGTTGGCTCAAATTTATGGTGCCCATATCATAGGGCAGAGCTTTCTCAGTGTTTAGGTCTGTCACGCAAACGTAATGAAAAACCTCTAAGTCTATTTGAAATAATCAATAAATCATATATTTTAAAATATCTAAATGAAAGAATTTCATGAGATATGTTGTGTCGCCATACATTTTGTTATTACAATTTATCTATGTTTCTGTATATCTTGTAAAGAGTTGGTTTATCCTTTGTTTTGCCAGGAAAACTGAATTACTGTGTCACAAAATGATGCATGCCTAAAAAGTGTTACCAACATGAAATGTTTGGGAAGTTCTGTCATAGGGTTTTCTTGGGGGGGGGGGGTAGTTTAGTTAGAGGACCCTTTGCCTTCCTCTTAGGCTGAGAGATTGTGACTTGCCCAAGGTCATCCAGAGGATTTCCATGGCTGAGCAGAAATTCAAGCCCTGATCACCTGGTAGGCCTGTAGCCAGAGAAGGTGGGTTTAAGGGTTCAACCCCCTCCCCTCAAAATGTTTCAGGTTTTTTAAAAAACTGGTTTACTCATGAATTAGTTAACCAGTAAAATTGGTTAAACAGGCAGCTTGGAGTCCTATTTCATCACATTCTCTCCTGTTCAAACCTAGCTTTAAGTAATAAAGAAATAAATCATCACCTCCTGGATTTTTTTTTATAACTGAGGGGTACAAATAATTGTGAAGTACACAGCTACAACATGCAACCAATAAAGTTGCATCTTACAGTGATGTTCAGTGAACTCGGTCAGAAATATTTTGAATGGACATATGCCAGCATTTCCAAATTTACATCTAAATATTGCTAGTTCATTAATTAATGCTTCCTTAAATAGCCAGTGAGTCAATATATTCCCTATTTGGAGTTTACTCATCCCCGCCAAAAAACAAACAAAGCATCTAATAAGAAAAAGGCCATTTCAGTTGTATGGCATTTCACATACATTTTTATTACTTTAGTTTTGTAGTTGCAAATCCCACTATTTAAAGTTTGCTTTGGGCTCGCAATCTCTTTTCTTGCTACCCGTCCCTTTCCCAAAACCTCATCTTTCCCTCGGATGAGGTTGCTCCCAAATGAAGGAGAGGCGTTTTCCTTTTGGCTTCATGTTATCCTCTTATCCCTACTGTTTTGGAATAGAGCGTAACCAGCTGGAGAACTGTAAGAAGCCTGATAATGCAGCTATTTTCTGCTGTCCCGTCTTAATCTTGTTACACAAATGGTTGTGAAGAGATTCATGAATTTTAATTTTGCCCTCTGCATTAGTGCTTCATGTCACTCATACACAGCTGCCTTCTATGGGGAGTTGTTCACCCCTCCTTCTACAACAGGGGGAAAAATTAGTTACAATCTTGGCAGTAGTGCAAGTAACAAAAAAAAATCCACAGATTTAGGCAACCACCCATGAAGCTGATTAACAGTCAGTGATCAGGAGGAACAGCTTTGCCTCTTAAACTTTTCACCTCTCATTGTTAGCTGTGAAATTTTATTTCCGTTAAAAAGCAAGCCTGTAATCAAAACTGGGCCTTCCAACACTTTATGCCAGTGCTTTTGTTTAAAATTGTACCCACATCATGGAAGTGGACTATTCAGAGGCCAAAACAGCAGAAGGTAGGAATGTATATATACATATATATGTGTGTGTTTGTGTCTTTTTAGATCAAGAATTGTTTTCTTTTATGTAAGTTTCATATATATATCCATGTGACTTAGGAGATAGGTCTTACGCCAGCATTTGCAATCTTAAATATTAAGGTCATAAGTTCTACTGTATTAAAAGTAGCATCAAAAAAACAAACAAACACCCCACACTGACACATCTAATTTATGTTGTTTTGCAATGCACACATGCACAACACATTGTATTTGAGAGATTGCATATTTTCCTTAAAGCTGCAGTAGTGTCCCTCCACTTTTGAAATAAGTAATAATAATGTGACACGTGCCTTTCTGTTTAAATATTAATAAAACAAAGCAGAGGTGGCTTTAAAAACAAAAGCCAGAGCCACTACGATTTGCTCTGGGTGTGATGTCAAAAGAATGGTCATATTGTCTTTTCCCTTATCTGTTTGAAATGCCACATTACGACTGGCTGGTGCTTATAATCTGTATGGTGTGCTGTTGATAATTGTGGCTACTGTAAAGGGTAAACAGTATGAATTCCTCTCCTGCTGATGCTATTCACCCCATGGGTCTGAGTGTGTTACATCCAATTAGGAGGTAAAGCATAATGCTACTAAGAGCAGCCATATAATTTATTTCAGTCCTCATAGGCCTCTCTCGCTCTCCCCCAACCCCTTTCCCGCAAAATTGAAAAATTGTTTTATTCACAATTTGCTTTTAGTTGCTCGTGGGTTTCAAAAGGCAGGTTTATGAGGGCTGCTTTTTTCATTTCATAAAATTACAATCATTAATTGGGCTCAGAAGTGCAACCATGATGCGGGCAATAACACTCTGCATAATATTCCAAACTGGAACATATGCACTGTTTGCAAATGGATCTATATGCATATACGAGTGCAATAATGTTATGTTTCTGACGCACTTATGGCTGGATAACAGGTTGCAGTAATACATGGCTTTGTGGCGTTTCTTTATTTGTTTAACGTCCCCCTGCTAATCTGGAATGATGTGGCTGGATCTGGATTGTTCTTAAACTCTGTAATGGATCCTTGGTGCTGGCCGCCAGAGGTCACTAGAGAATTCAGGTTAAAAGAGGCACAGGGGCATATCAGATCTGCCACAACCCGGAACACCAGCAATATTTTTATGGGTTTCCTTCACAGATTTTGCAATATATTATTGCAGGGTGTTAGTGAATGAGGCAGCTAACACAAACCACACCAAAATAGAGGATTATTTGCCAAAGGAAAACCTGTTCAAAGTTTTATTTCTCAGGGAGACCTTTCCCCCCTCCAAGAATATATATAGAATATGTTGTGCTTATTAGTTTTTATCCCAGCAACCATACTACAGACTGGAACTGGAGAGATCTTTGGACTGGAAACAGTTCACTCCATATTTTTTTCTCAAAAGGAATGTTTTCAAAGTTGGAATTCTGGGCAAAACAGGCATAAAAATGCTGTTTGGTCACTTGAGAGCACTTGGTTTATTTGGGGTGTTGTTCCCAGAGAAGTTTGTGCCACAGTCAGCTAGCTAATTATTATTATCAAAGTTGCCAGAGCACTTTTGGACTGTATAAAGTAAAATTATTTTTTTGCTGCTCGAAAAAAGGTAGTTTTATTGAAATACCAAGCGCCTAAAATGCTGCCAAATTTATAATAAAAACCATGTGAGTCATCTTATCCAAACAGAGATATGTTCACATAAAGGGGACTTAAAAGCCAATTTCTATTCCTTAATAGCGTGGATGAAAATTTAAAGAATCAGTTACCATCTATGAGCGAGGATTTTTCCCCCCTGCTATAACTGAGAATGTTTAATTTCCTTAGAATTAGAAAATGGCATGTGGGAAACACCCTTGTTTGTATAATATAGATTATCATAATGGCCCAAGCCGGTCATAATCTTCACTTCGAACCACAAAAGAAGGAAATACCAGGCTGAGTATCATTTATCCTAAATGATTTGGACCAGAAGCGTTTTAGATTTCAGATTTATTTCATTTTGGAATACCAATATTTGCATATATCTACATAATGAGATCTTTTGGAGATGGGACCTAAACCTAAACATGAAATTCATTAATGGTTCATATATATCAAATACATGTAGACTGAAGGTACTTTTATGCAATATTGTTAATAATTTTGTGCACATTAAATCAACTGAAAGTAAAGGTGTCATTATCTCAGCCACCAATGAGGACATTTTCAGGTTTAGAATTGTTTTGGATTTTGTTTTTGCAGCTAAGAGATGCTCAAACCAGTAATTTGTTAGAACTGAAAATGGCAATACGGTTTATTTTTCCTTACTTTATGTCCTTTATATTTTATTGGTCTAATCTGATTAGTTGTTTGAATTTAGTTTATACTTGTAAAAAAAAATATGCCTGATGCAATGCTTTGCTAAACATACATTTTCTAAGAGCTGCCTAAATAAATTTGTTTAAAAAGTGGAGTCTATTTGACACCACATCAAACTTTTTAGGTTTACACAACTTTAATTCTTACTTAACAAGAGTGGACTGTATTATTTCTGTATTGGAAGAAGATTTGCTTTGTGCACATTAATATGTCCTGAAGTGGCTATAAATGCTGCTTCTGTTTTTAGTCTGGTGTCTTACACACATTTTTGACCTTTGTGTATTTCTTTTATCCTAGTTTGAATTTACTGAAATCCACTGTCACCGACCTCTATTTATTACAGTGTATTTAGTTTTCCTGTGCACAGTTCTTTGTTGTACAATCACAAAAACATGAACTTGTCAGATTTTATAGTACTAATGACGATTCCATAACTGTTATGAGAAACATAAATACAATCATTGCTACAAGCCATAAAAACCTATTTCCTACTCATGCGGAGAATCAAATTATTTTCTACCTGTGTCATTAAAATTAATTTTGCTGTTCTCTGTGTTTTTTTAATTGCAGATGAAAAAAGAAGAAAAAGATATTTATGATGAGAACCTTCACTATCCATTTCTTCTCATTTTAACAAAATAGAAAATACAGTGGGTGTATTTCGATTACAATGGGAGTAATAGATCCACATGAATGTGCCGTTTGAAGAATAATCAAAGTGGTCAAAAGTTATCTTCCGTTCTTGAGAAACTAAAAACCTTAGCTGTATATATAGTAGTAGATCATTTTTCAAAGTTTTGTATTGGTCAGTCTGATAAGACCTAAAGCCTGAACAGCTCAGTTTCTCTCCCCTTGTGGCTGTCATCACGCACACGATTTCTTCATCCTGACCAAAAAAAAACGGCTCCTTCAAGTACATTGGAAAGCATATGCTCTGTGGCTGTGTTTGACCGGCTGTAAAACGCTAAAGGATTTATTGTAGCCCCAGTGAATGAGGAAGGAGATATTGATAATTGATGGGCATTCATATTCTATATGCACCTCGTGCTATATTTTGATTTCTTTCTCCTTCCTGTCCTTCATGCTATTCTTGAGAATTTGCCTTATGGGTTTTCCTCCCTTTGTCAGAGCAAAATGTTTCAAACTTGCTTTGCTTGATTACTTAATGTTTTTTGACAACAGGATTTTTTTTTGTCCATTCCCGGTAGATGTATAAGAAATTACTGCCTCAAACCAAAAGCCTAATAAACTGACCATTTGTCCTCTGGACACAATGCGTTGGCCAGCCCTCTGCTCCTCCTCTCCAATTATGTGTGATTAGTCTCAGTGTGTTGTGTCAAGAAGGGGGAGTGTGCGGAGTACTTATTATCTGTTTAGGTACAAGGAGAGTGCTCTGGCTATGAATGAAAAGTGAGCCTTTATCAGGACTGAAATCTAACTGCAACTGTTCCACAGACCTCTTGTTAAAAATAGATCACGTCAGAGAAACTCCGAATGCTATAGCAACCGTGAGTTTTCCTCCCATTCAAGCCCCCATGCCATCCCAAAAATGCATCCAAACATCTTTAAAAGTCAGTCGAATTCACACATTTGCTTCACATTTCAATCCCCCCAAAACAATCCCTGCCTTTCAAAAATAACATTGTGTGTATTTGTTTTCTTACAGGTTAAGGGTGTATTTTCTTTTTAAGGGTCACATTAAAAACTCTCTGCTGAATTTTGTAACTGATTTCCAAGTGCTTCCCCTGATTAAAAAAAGAAAAAAAAAAGGAATCCTGGCCATAACAATCGAAAATACAGCTTATTTACTATGCAGTTAGTGGCTGAAATACATAAAAATAATTACCTTTGGTTTGCTGCCTTTCCTCTCCGGTTTAACAAATTGAGTTGTACACAAAAGTCTTGTTCCCTTTCCTGCTCTCCTCCAATGCGTTTCTTCACCACCAGTTTGCATGTCCTTGTATTCAACACTTTTTATGCTCCATTAGAGCACCTATATGGATCTCAGAAGGCACAGGTCAAGTCGCAGTTAGATCATACATGTCTTTCTCACAAAAACCTGAATTGCAATGCCAAGTGATGGGCTAACATCACAATAACAGCAATTTATTCCTCTTTTGATAAAACAGCAGTCTATTCTCAGTGTTGGATAAAGACCAGGGGCAATGCAAACCAGCCATTTATCCTAGTATTTCAGTGGTAGATCTCCTTTTATGGATTTTATGGATTTCACATTGAGACTCTTAACTGCATGGAATTTCTGCGAAGAAATGATAAGAATTTAAAGATGGCTGGGGTTTGTCAGAGAAAGAACTTGCCTTCAATCTGTATGTGTGTCCTGTAGGTACATATACCAATCACATACATTGTTGAGATGAAATCACATAATAGAGGGGGTACAAAAAATAAAATCAGCCAAAATATATGCCTACAAAAACGCTTCAGAATAGAGTTAGCTGATAAACTTGCCAACTTTTTATCTAATGACCCTGGAAATTATTGCACCATTCTTTCCCCCCCTCTGAGGAGATAACAAGTATATCAAAATGAACAACTAATTATTGTTGTTTGTTTCTCTTCTGTGCCTGTCATGTCAGTACAAGCTGGTGTCTCAAATGCAGCCTATTATCCTGTAAGGGTTTAATTGAAGGGGTCTTAAGAACACGATCCTGCAAACATTTATGCACTGAGGCTGAATGGTGAAGTTAAATTACTCATGCATATAATTGATGAAAGGACTGGGAGCCATAGACTGTAACATTTGCTGTTTAGTATCATTGTATAATGTCAACATTTTGCTTTAGTCCTTTTCGATCTCTACTGTAAAAAAGAAAATCAGAGGGGTGGTCTTTTTCTAACATGTGCTTTATAATGGGATGTGCCTTCTGATTTATTTATTTATTTTACATTAGATTAACTAAGCATATATTCTGTTATTGAAAAACATTTAACTGTGTTTCTTCTCTGAAATATGTTAATCAACTTTTTTAAAAGTTTGACGTTTTCAAAGTCTATCTGTATGCAATGATGTTCTCGTGTCAAAAAATAATCTTTATTAAAAGCAGACGCGATGATAAATTTGCATACATCCAGTCCTACTTTAGTTGGCATCTGTATAATCTCTGTTACACACATTTCTGATGGTGAGAGGTACATATTAGTGTATTGCTTGCAAGTTGAAATGAACAAGTGAATGCATTAAAAACACATTCTGAAGATGTAAAAACCACTTCTTAAAGACTGGCAACCAATGGAAACAATACTCGGGTGCAAGTTTTCTCATGGCTTATAGGCAGCTGATGGAGAGTCTTATTCATATTGAAATGACAGCTTAGGAACCACTCCTCTCATAATCTGCAGTAGCCAGGGCTCTGGTGTCACTCATGAAAGGGGCATAGAGAAGACACAAGGAGAAGAAAAATACAAAATGGGCAATCAAGAAATATTTATATGCATTGGGTCATTAAAGAGGGTATTCTGAAAGTTTGAAAAATGGGTTTTTCTAACATTTCTCAAAGAGTTTGAGAAGAAATGCAGATTATTTCAGAGAAGGGGAAATTATCAGATAAGGCAAAGAAATTATTTCAGTAGATGTTACATACGTTACAAATAAAAATATTGTTTTCATGTATGATTACTGCGTACACTCAACAGTAAACATTTCAGCTAGTGCTCAGCATACCTAGTATTGTTTTAAATGTCCATTACCCCCCACCACCATTTTGAAGTCGCATAATGTAAAAAGACACTCTGCTCCATTTGGGGCAGCAAGGACAATTAGTCAGGTTTTCAAATAGAAAGTCCTTATATTCTAAGGTGATCCTTGTAGAGCGATGGATGGAGGGCAAGGTCAAGTTCCAATGAAATCAATTCAGATAAAGGCATGTAGGAAAGAAGCAGACAAAAGGCAAAAGCCAGATGAGGTGGGATGGCACAAAGGAAGAGAGATGACAGGAGGTCTCTAGCTGTTCAGACCAAAGATGACATGATGGAAATTTGTATGAGGATAAGTGCCTATAATGTGTCCATACCAACCAATGGAATATTGAGGACTCTGCAGTTCAGGTTGAGAGTAGCCAGATCAAGTACCATTAGGCACTTTAATAGTATTTCAGTCCTGTGATACAGCTGAATGGATGGACAGAGATAAGGCAAAATAACCAGGGATATCCAGCTGGTGTTCCAGCAGAATCTTTCCTTGGTAACTGCCAAATTCCATGCCTTTCTTGATTTTGCAAAAGAGTGAAAACTTGGCTCTTCAGGCAAGCTTTCAGAACCTCAGTATAAACAGACAAACTTGAATCGGGAAATGACCCAGGAACGGCCAAGACTATGGAACAGATGAGGATTTGAATGAGAGGACATAGTTTTTAAAACTTTTATTATTCATTGTTTTTATGATTTTAAATGTACTGTAATGTTTCTCTTTTGCTTTTTATCAATGTATGTATTTTATATATGGCATCGAATTGTGCCGACCCTGCATGCCGCCCTGAGTCGCCTTCGGGCTGATATGAGCGGGATAGAAATAGTGTAAATAATAAAATAAATAATAAATAAATAATTTTCTAAATAGATTATTTTTATATTTTAACTGTGAGTCTTTTGATTGCTCAATACTAGCATGCAGTGCTATTTTCATGGCCAAATATGATCCTAGTCCTCATGTGTTTTTCAGAAGCATCATGAGAAAATCAAAATGGTAGTGGCTTTAGTTAGATCAGTGGTTTCCAGTTTGTGGTCCGTTGACCACCAGTGGTCTTCAAGAACTAAAATATGATCCATGGCCTCACCATTACTACACCGTTGAAACAAGAGCAATTAATCTCGCAAAACCTTCTTATAGTGCCACGGTTTATTAAATATGGTTTTCTGTGGGTTTGCAGATGGCGAATACTGGATGGCATACATTCTGTATCAGAAACTAGAGCTGATGTGGTCTATCCAATGCAATTTTCTGAATCAGCGCCCCAAATAACCAAACCAAATCTAAAGTTGACCAAAAGCCGATTCATAACCCTTTTGGTATTAATGTTGAAGAGGGGTCCCTTGTTGAAGTGGTCCATGGTCAAAAAAAGGTTGGGAACCACTGAGCTAGATGATTCATTTTTATGTGTGCTCACCTTTCCAGGGAAAAAATAATCATGAGCCACGTATGGTCACAGGGTTGATGGAGAGTGCACCTTAGGGAGGCAGAAGAGGTCGTAATGCTTGCATGTCATCCTGTGAATCTGTCTCCAATTTTCATCTAAAAACTGTCAAATACGGTTCACATCCAAAACTGGAAAATCACAAATCTTGTACAAAACAACCTTAATATTTTTCAAACGAAGTAAACTGTTCCTTTGCTTCAACAGTTCCTTTTTTTAAAAAAAATACATTGACTTGATGCATTTTTAAAATGTAATATGTAGTGTTTAATTAAGAAATGCTTCCACTTTCCATATGACAAGCCAAAGTGCTTCTTTCAGCATGTAGACTGAACAGGAGCAGGGTGAAGGCCCTGAGTGATGAACAGCAAGTTCTGGGTCCTGCATAATGAGAAAGGTGGGATATGAACCAAATAAATGAATAATAATACATAAAAGTTTGGGAAGGGGAACTGACAATTAGTTGTGTGTGACAGCAGAATTGAGTACAAATCTTGCACATCTGTCAAATTTAAAAGCCACAAAACCAGGGAATAGAAAAGGGGACATGGACATAATTTGTTTTTCTTAGAGTGCCTATGTTTTTCTTCAGTTTTTTTTCTATTGTTCCCTAGTGGGAAGAGCGCATGTAACAAGATTAGCCAAAGAAGGAGCATGTTCCTGCAAAATTTAACTTTTGTTAGCAATTGAGGATTGCCTTGAATTCACAGCATCCTCCCACTATCCTTTAAGTAAAGAAACCACCTTTTTGTTTTTAAAAATAAGCATGTGAGGTGAGAAGCAATCAGATATGCTCTATATGGAGTTACACATATCACCTTGAACAGAATGGCCCGACTGAAAAGTAGTTATGCTTAGAACAGATTTATGAGTATCAGTGTGCCTTAAGATTGCCATGACTGACTTACTGCATTGAGTTTAATGGATCTACCCTAAGCATGACTAAGACTGGGTTCAACCCATAGGTAATTCCCATGGGAAGTATGTGTATTCTATTAACCTAATTTGATGGGAGAAGCAAAATAATGTCCACTGGCTCCACTTCCAACTTCCATGAATTTAGCCAAACATCTGAATCAAGTGTACATACAATTCCCACAGGATCTCTATGTGTACAAATTGTACACAAATAGACTGATCAGAGGTTTGGCTGAATATGTGAATTCAGTGGGTTCAGCCTTGATCTCCTCCCATGCATTTATTTAGAACCATCCATCATCTGAATAGGACTATACTGCTTGAATTATGGACTCTGATGATGATATCACTTCTCTGTAAGGTGGCTGTTTTTAAGTCACATTATTTCAGGTTTTACAATCTCTTTCAAAAATTAATTTGAGTTTAAGTGGTTAACCATACCCGATTCTTTTTTTTAAACCATTCTTAATCTGAGTTTATCCTCCCCCAACCTGTTCAGTCTACATTTTGTTTGCATAAGATATCATTTGGGCCTTCAATATTTCCAGGTAGATCATCAAATGCTGTGTGTGTATCATTGGAAAGTATCAGTGACGGTAAAAAGAACACAACAATCTTGCCATTATGTACCACCAACTTCTAAGAATGTACACAGCATCCAGATGATGACAAAAAACAACAAAGTGAAAATTGTCGAACATGCAGGTATGAACTCATCAATTCTCAACATAATTTGTGGCAGCCACAAAAATGAAGTTTCTGGAGTATAACAATTACTTTCAAAATAAATACAGCACAATTAAACAGAAATAACACTTTAAAACTGGGAACAGAATCTTTTTCAAATTTTATTGCATAGTGTTATTAATAGCAGTGCACAGACGAACATAAGTTTTGAATTTGGGGAGAAAACCACTGGAGGCAGAGGTAGACAAAAGAATTCATAAGGCATTGCTTTTTATTAATATCTCTAATGGTTTGCATTTGTGTGTTAAAGAACTATTCCCTGCCTTCAATAACTAGAATTTATCTTCATAGAAAAAGAAATAATAGCAAGCTGTATTTCATTTTCTAAGAACATGTGTCCAGTCTCATTTTAACCTACAGCACATTAGATCCAAAGGTGTCCCTATGAATGCAGAAGCTATGACCAGTTCTATACATTTTTCTACCTGAGGCAGAAGAGTATGCATACTTCCCAAGTCGAGATCCATCCATTTATCCCTCAACTTTTCCCCAAAGGTTGGATATGAAGTGGCTTCTAAAACAGAGAAAATTATAATAAAACATCAGGGAAACAAAGTAATGCAGAAGGCACTTTTACAAAGTTCCCAAATGAAAATGGTAGGAGCAAGTGAAATGCCTCCCTTGAAGATCTTGAGCTCAGTAAAGCTCATATGGGAAGATAAGGTTCTTCAGATAACTTGGATCCAATCTATATAGAAAGTGCTAGAGGATACTGCAGGGTTACCTTTCCTGAGGCTCACATAAACTGGAGCTTGAGCTTTCACAAGTTCTAACCATTATCAAAAGCATGCAGTTGCCTGGAGACTTCTCAGTCACACTCCTGCCTATGGAAATCATGACCAGTCTACAAAATGCCCACATGATCAATCTGTTCCATTGTCATCAGAATTTTAGAATAAGGATGGGCCTCAAAATCATGTAGTCCAACTCTCTCCTCTGTGCTGAACCTACAATATAGGATGCAATTGTAGTAACTTTGAGAAATGTCTTTCTGGACTCTACTTGTAACAAAAAAGATTTGTTACCTCCTAAGGCAAACTGTCAAACAGTTTATACTACTAGGAAGTTATTCTAAATGTTTAGTTGGCATCTTTTCCATCTTTACCTTCTGACTATTGCTTCTAGTTGTACTCTCTGGAGGAACAGAAAGACATTCTGCACTATCTTCTGTTTAACATCCCTTCAGGTGTTTAGCAGCTGCTAAGAGATCTTCCTTCAATGTCTTCTCCAGGCTAAACATATCATGTTTTCCCACTGTCATCT